TCGGGACAGTAATTGCACCTACTACTATCCCCTCTACTACACCTTACTTTGCTCTTCACCTCTCTCTTGCTTATTTATTGCCTGCATCTACTTCCTCATCATCACCACACACTTGGTCCGGGAGACATCTCCCGTCACGCAGGGTGCAGTTGCACCTCCACAGATCTCCAGTATCAGCTCTTGATACTCGTGATGGCTCGAAAGGGCCACCACTTACGAGCTATTCATGCCCGTGCCACCTTTTGAGTGGCTTAATCTTCATCTTCATCTGTTTAAAACACGGGAGACATCTCCCGTCACGCTGGGTGCAGTCGCACCTCCACAGATCTCCAGTATCATCTATTGATACTGGTGATGGCTCAAAAGGGCCACCACTTACCAATTCATGCCCGTGCCACCTATTGGGTGGCTTCATCTTCATCTTAAACACATTCACAAGGGAGACATCTCCCATCATGCAGGGTGCATTCGCACCTCCACAGATCTCCAGTATCAGCTCTTGATACTGGTAAATGGCTTAAAAAGGCCACCACTTACGGGCTATTCATGCCCGTGCCACCTTTTGGGTGGCTTAATCTTCATCATCATCATCCTCATCATTCAGCACCGCTCCTGTGCCAGGTAAGTTACGGGCTCACCATAGCCCGTGCTACATGGACATTTCGTTCAGAGTAGCTAAATCTGAAACAACAACATAATACTTCCTCATCACAAGCGACTTGAGAATGGTCCAGGACGGACCGAACCGTCGTCGTCCCTTCACCTTCTAGTGTGTGGTCTGGTCAACATTGCACCTTAGCTTTTCCCTTAGTCTCTTATCAGATATAGATACAAGTCACAGCTTCGTATCTTCTTTGCAGATGACAAAAATCAGTATGAAAATTAATTCTGTAGAATACATTGAAAGGTACAATGGTTATTATAAATAGTTTTCAATTGTGCAACAGAAAATAACATAATGATAATGTTTAACAGTGATAAATTCCAGGTACTTAGGTATGGTAAAATTAAGACCTTAAATAAAATGTAGGGTACAAAATACAGTCAAATGTGCCCATGCAGGCGATGAGTCACAATAACGTGACTCTGCCCATACTATGAATGAGTCACAATAACGTGACTCTGCCCATACTATGAATGAGTCACAATAACGTGACTCTGCCCATACTATGAATGAGTCACAATAACGTGACTCTGCCCATACTATGAATGAGTCACAATAACGTGACTCTGCCCATACTATGAATGAGTCACAATAACGTGACTCTGCCCATACTATGAATGAGTCACAATAACGTGACTCTGCCCATACTATGAATGAGTCACAATAACGTGACTCTACCCATACTATGAATGAGTCACAATAACGTGACTCTGCCCATACTATGAATGAGTCACAATAACGTGACTCTGCCCATACTATGAATGAGTCACAATAACGTGACTCTGCCCATACTATGAATGAGTCACAATAACGTGACTCTGCCCATACTATGAAAGCAGCATGTCAAGGATTTGGTAATAGTTATGTCTGACGACCTAACGTTTAGGGAGAAAGCATATATAGCATCAGCTAAAAAAAATGATATGATGGATTATGAGAACATTCAAATCCAGGGATCTCATTACAGTGCTCATACTATTCAAATGACTTGTGGTGTCCCACCTTGAGTACTGCTCAATACTCAGTTCCCCCTTCAGAGCAGGAGAGATTGCTGAAATGGAGGGAATACACAGAACACATACGGCACACGCAGACACGATAAAGCACCTAAAGCATTGAGATCGTCTCGAAGCTCTCCAAATGTGCTCACTGGACAGTGAATACCAACATTATCCTCACTTTAATAAGGCTTTATCAAAATCCTCAGATTAGGCAAAATTGTAATTGATTTTGTCAATAAAGATGTTAATAATAACTGGACTGGAGACGAGAGATATCACATAATATATACATGGAAGAGACTGGAAGGTCAGGTCCCAAATTTGCTCAGTTGAATACCAAGATAATGGAGCGAAAGACATGGCAGGAAATGCAGTATAGAACCATTGAGGAGTAGAGGTGATCCTCGGAGCTAACAACAAATAAGGTAATCAGGAGTCCAGGGATGTAGCGGTGTAGTTACGGGTCATATTGTATTAATCGATCGGCTGCTGCAAAGGCGGGGGACAAGAGCTGAATAACAACATACTGGAACGAAAGATACGGAATCTGGGCTGTGGTGGGTATGTGGTCCTGCGGGCCGCTCCAAGCAACAGCCTGTTGGACCAAGTTATCATAACTCGAGCCTGGCCTCGGGCCGGGTTCGGGGAGTAGAAGCACTCCCAGAACCTCTCTGGATGTGCTCCACGTATGAAGCTTTATTGTGCAGTGAGATTGGCGGGTAGGAGAGGGAAGGTTGCTTGATGAGGCAGGCGGTTGGCGGCAGCGTTTGTGGCCCGCTGGTAACCATAGAGACGGTGTCACCTGCTCCACCGCCCGCCTTACTCTCCTTATCCTCGTACACGGTATTTCTTAGCAGACTTTTTCTTGGGTGGTGGGTGTTGTTAGTGTTCCTCTCTCTCTCTCTCCACACCGCCTTGTGTAGTGTGTTACACTGACTCCTGCAGTCCCTCCTGCTGGTCCCTCCTCTCACCGTCACTCCTGCTGCCCTCCTACTGTGGTCCCTCCTGCTGGTGTGTGTGGTGACCCTGCACCTGGTGGTGTGTGTGGTGACCGTGCACCTGCTAGTGTGGTGACCCTGCACCTGCTGGTGTGTGTGGTGACCCTGCACCTGCTGGTGTGTGTGGTGACCCTGCACCTGCTGGTGTGTGTGGTGACCCTGCACCTGCTGGTGTGTGTGGTGACCCTGCACCTGCTGGTGTGTGTGGTGACCCTGCACCTGCTGGTCCTCAACAGTGAGACGGCGGGAGTGGTGAAGGGGGGTGGCGACAATTGTGGCGTGGAGCGGAGCACCAGGTGGCCGGTGCAGGCCACGGGGCGAGGGGGGGTGGTGGTGGGGGCGGTGCAGGCCACGGGGCGAGGGGGTGGGGGGCGGTGCAGGCCACGGGGCGAGGGGGGGGGGGGGAGGGGGGGGGGCGGTGTAGCAGGTCACAGGAATGCCTCATCAATGACTGGTATGACTGCTCTTATATTATGGTCCGCCACAGGTCAGTCAAGTTCAAACACGTTCATTGTGTTGTGGCTGCCTGTAGACACTCCTATATTAAAACGGACTCCACAAGAACTTGTGATCCTGTGGTCCTGGGTTCGATCCCAGGCGCCGGCGAGAAACAATGGGCATAGTTTCTTTCACCCTATGCCCCTGTTACCTAGCAGTAAAATAGGTACCTGGGTATTAGTCAGCTGTCACGGGCTGCTTCCTGGGGGTGGAGGCCTGGTCGAGGACCGGGCCGCGGGGACACTAAAGCCCCGAAAATCATCTCAAGAAGACTCAAGATACCTTACCTGGATCTTTCTTACCTGGAGGGGGGGTTATCTTGAGATGATTTCGGGGCTTTTTAGTGTCCCCGCGGCCCGGTCGTCGACTAGGCCTCCACCCCCAGGAAGCAGCCCGTGACAGCTGACTAACACCCAGGTACCTATTTTACTGCTAGGTAACAGGGGCATAGGGTGAAAGAAACTCTGCCCATTGTTTCTCGCTGGCGACCGGGATCGAACCCGGGACCACAGGATCACAAGTCCAGCGTGCTGTCCGCTCGGCTCCCTCCGGGGTTGTGGACGTTCTGCTCCCCAAGCCCGGCTCGACTTGTGAGAGCTTGGTCCAACAGGCTGTTGCTTGGAGCGGCCCGCAGATCCATTACAACCCGGATGGTCCGGCACTTCTTGCATGAAACGTCTAAATGTTTCTTCAAGAAGTCCACTTTTGTTCCTGCATTAGTTTTGATAGCTATCCCAAAAGTGGAAGTCTTCAAGAAAAAACTGGATAGTTCTGTGCAAGAAGTACCGGACCAACCGGGTTGTTGTGGATATGTGGGCCTGTTGGACCAGACTCATATCAAGCCTCAATCCAGGCTGGACTTGGGGAGTAGAACTCCTAGAACCGCATCCAGGTACAATCCAGGTACTTGCTACGAGGATATTGAACAGCCATGTACTCTGATGTACTTTGCCCACTGTCCATAAACCACTGACCATAAGCCACATAATTTAGTAGCAAGCTGAGCATGAGGGTTGTTTGTGATTAGTTTCTTGGTGGGGTATGCTGAGGTCAGGAGGTCCTAAGGTACTATCTGCCAGGGTGGAAGGAAGTGCTGTACTCTTTCATCTGTATATACATCGTGCAGTCCCATCATTTTAATATGAGTGGCTGTTTTTTTAATCCATTTATACTCGCTAGTTCCATTACGTATGTGTTCTAACAGTTAAACTGACATAATGTTGTTTTTGTTATCATGCAGAAGTTTTAGTCTCCTCATAAGATTAATTTCAAATATTCTATCTTCAATGTTAGGTATATTTAATTCTTTCCGCATGTTGAGAACTTTCGTAAGTTATAGGAGAGCCAAGTGTAATTCTGAGTGCTTCATTTTGCATTTATTCCAGTCTATTTTGCCATTTTGCAGGACTAAAGCTGGTGCATGATAGTCTAACAGAGACCTTATATATGCTAAGTACATCATTTTTGTTATTCTAATATTAACACCGTATTCAGGGCTGTACCCCACTCTACAGTGTTGATATAACTTATTGACTGCAGATAAGGTACAAGAAACACACACACCAAGGTATTTAAAAGAAGAGACATAGTCTAGTGGTATGTTATCTATCTTTAGTTTTCGTGGTCCACTTTTGCACTTACCTATTTGTGGTCATGCTGTACGAGTCAACATCAATTTTATCCCAGACTTGTTCATTAATAATTGTGTTAGAACCTTTATCCTCCTCAGATAAGACGTTAGAGTTAGTCACAGTCATATAGAATTGTGTGTACATGCGATGGGGAGTACGGTGCATGCTAGAGCTGGAGTGTACAATAATGATGTTTTTGTCATTACAGGTGAGAGGCGAGGACGGCCAGCTGGTAATTGTGGCGGGAGGCAAGGTAAGGCTGCAGTAACCGCGGTGTGAGTAGTGGTGGTGTTGTAGTGGCCGTGAAGGGCGTGGACGGGGGGGGGGGGAGAGAGAGAGGTAGCGGCCACTGCCTGGCCGTGAAGGGCGTGGACGGGGAGAGAGAGGTAGCGGCCACTGCCTGGCCGTGAGCAGCCATAAACATGAGAGGTGTGGAACAGGTGAGCAGTTTACCTCGGCGAGTGCGGCCACCTGGACAAGGCCGCACGCCATAATGTACCACACTTTGCGCCATTCCTGTACTTGTGGGTGAGGCGTCTCGCCACCCACTGTGTCTTGGCTCTCCCGCCACCTCAGCTCCCGGGGCTCTACCAACCCGTCCTCCTCTATATTGTATTTTGTAGAACTGTGTGCGCCATAGTACAAATATTGACGTCCTAAACATTTAATACAATTTTGTACTATTTACTTTATTGAGTCCGAGAAACTAAACAAAAAATTTAAATATTACTAAGCCACATGTGCTATATGTACATGTGTACTATATGTAAATATACACACGTACATCGTGCAGTACACACGTATAGTACACACGTACATGTGTACTATATGTAAATATACACATGTACTGTACTAGGCCTCAGGTAGTGTGTATTAGGATATTAGAGAAGTTAGATTAGTTTGTCTTTTTATTGTATGTCAGTATATGTACTGTGGTTGTTATTGTCAGCATAAGTACTTCCAAACTGGAGGATGGGCTGGGAGAGTGGTGGGTCGACCACCGGGGGGGGGGGGGCCAGCTACACTGTTTGTGGGGCATATGAACGATGTGGGCAGGTGGGCACGCGGCTATGTGGCCTCCTGGTGCCAGTGACCAGGACACAGTTGTGTGTTGAGAAGAACAGAGAACACATGGCACGCACAGAGACGATAAAATACCAGATGAGCCACAGAGACGTTAGAAAGAATTTTTTCAGTGTCAGAGTAGTTAATAAATGGAATGCACTAGGAAGTGATGTGGTGGAGGCTGACTCCACACACAGTTTCAAATGTAGATATGATAGAGCCCAGTAGGCTCAGGAATCTGTACACCAGTTGATTGACAGTTGAGAGGCGGGACCAAAGAGCCACAGCTCAACCCCCGCAAGTACAATTAGGTGAGTACAATTAGGTGAGTACCAAAATTATTATTGGGACCGTCTTAAAGCTCTCCAAATGTTCTCTCTGAAAACTGGGGCCAGGTCCCTAATTGGCACAACAGAATAACATACTGGAACAAACGATATGGAAGGATATTCAGAAGAGAGCCAGCAAAGAATAGAGGTGCCATAGGTACAATCAGAACACTGCTTGAGCATCAGAGGTCCACGGCTGGTCAATACTCTCCCAGCAAGCATAAGAAACATTGTCGAACAAAGGTGAATTTCGAGGAGGAATTGGATAAATTCCTGCAAGAAGTGTTGGAATAACTGGGCTGTAGTGCCCATGTGGGCCTGGGCGATGCTTCAAGCAACAGTCTGTTGGACCAAGTTATCGCAGGTCAAGCCTGGCCGGCCTTCGGGAGGAAGGTTATCTCTTGAGGTTATCTTGAGGTGATTTCCGGGTTTAGCGTCCCCGCGGCCCGGTCCTCGACGAGGCCTCCTTTTTGTTACACTTCCCCAAGAAGCAGCCCGTAGCAGCTGTCTAACTCCCAGGTACCTATTTACTGCTAGGTAGCAGGGGCATCAGGGTGAAAGAAACTTTTTTGCCCATTTGTCTCCGCCTCCACCGGGGATCGAACCCGGAACCTCAGGACTACGAATCCGAAGCGCTGTCCACCCAGCTGTCAGGCGAGGAAGAAAGAACTTTCAGAACCCTTTTCAGGTAAACTCCTGGTAAAGGGTGAGAGGCGGGACTGAAAAACTTAAGGTCAACCCGAGCAAGCACAGCTGAACACGTGCAGCTGTGGTAGTGGAGAACACGTGCAGCTGTGGTAGTGGAGAACACGTGCAGCTGTGGTAGTGGAGAACACGTGCAGCTGTGGTAGTGGAGAACACGTGCAGCTGTGGTAGTGGAGAACACGTGCAGCTGTGGTAGTGGAGAACACGTGCAGCTATGGTACTGGAGAACACGTGCAGCTATGGTAGTGGAGAACACGTGCAGCTATGGTAGTGAAGAACACGTGCAGCTATGGTAGTGGAGAAGAACACGTGCAGCTATGGTAGTGGAGAAGAACACGTGCAGCTATGGTAGTGGAGAAGAACACGTGCAGCTATGGTAGTGGAGAAGAACACGTGCAGTTATGGTAGTGGAGAACACGTGCAGTTATGGTAGTGAAGAACACGTGCAGTTATGGTAGTATAGAACACGTGCAGTTATGGTAGTGGAGAACACGTGCAGTTATGGTAGTATAGAACACGTGCAGCTATGGTAGTGGAGAAGAACACGTGCAGCTATGGTAGTGGAGAACACGTGCAGCTATGGTAGTGGAGAAGAACACGTGCAGCTATGGTAGTGGAGAAGAACACGTGCAGCTATGGTAGTGGAGAAGAACACGTGCAGCTATGGTAGTGGAGAAGAACACGTGCAGCTATGGTAGTGGAGAAGAACACGTGCAGTTATGGTAGTGGAGAACACGTGCAGCTATGGTAGTGAAGAACACGTGCAGCTATGGTAGTGGAGAACACGTGCAGCTATGGTAGTGAAGAACACGTGCAGCTATGGTAGTGGAGAAGAACACGTGCAGCTATGGTAGTGGAGAAGAACACGTGCAGCTATGGTAGTGGAGAAGAACACGTGCAGCTATGGTAGTGGAGAAGAACACGTGCAGTTATGGTAGTGGAGAAGAACACGTGCAGTTATGGTAGTGGAGAACACGTGCAGCTATGGTAGTGGAGAACACGTGCAGTTATGGTAGTGGAGAACACGTGCAGTTATGGTAGTGAAGAACACGTGCAGCTATGGTAGTGAAGAACACGTGCAGCTATGGTAGTGGAGAACACGTGCAGCTATGGTAGTGAAGAACACGTGCAGCTATGGTAGTGGAGAACACGTGCAGCTATGGTAGTGGAGAAGAACACGTGCAGTTATGGTAGTGGAGAAGAACACGTGCAGCTATGGTAGTGGAGAAGAACACGTGCAGTTATGGTAGTGGAGAAGAACACGTGCAGCTATGGTAGTGGAGAAGAACACGTGCAGTTATGGTAGTGGAGAAGAACACGTGCAGCTATGGTAGTGGAGAAGAACACGTAATGCTGGACCACCGCTACTGCAGCTGTTGCAGGAGGACCGCTCTCTGTGTTCCTAGGCAACAGCTAGGGTCAGCTGGGCACGGATGGTGCTGGGGGAGGGGGGGTCGGAACCTTCCCTGCCGTGACGCCTGGTGCCTTGAGTGCCGTGTGGTGCCTGGTGACCTCCAGGCGGGGGGGATGGGTGCTGGTGATGCAGGAAGGTGGAGGCGGGAGGGAGGTGGCTAGGACAGCAGGTGGGTGGTGGGGAGGACAGCAGGTGGGAGGTGGGGAAGTGGTAGTTAGCAGGCACCACACTGCTTCCGCTCTTATGTTGGCCTCTCTCTCTCTCACACACTCACTCACTCACTCTCTCACACACACACTCTTACCCACTCACTCACTCTCTCACACACACTCTCTCACTCACTCACTCTCTCTCACTCTTGTGCCGCTCCACAAGTCCAAGTCGGACGACTGGCTCTCACAATAACAACTATGAATGAATGAATAAAAACAAACATTAAGAATGAATAGTAAACAGGTTAAGGCCACCCCACAACACAGCCACCCCCCCCCTCCCTTCGTGCATAACACCTGTTCTGTGACCCCCCCCCTCCCCCACGCCAGCTGGTCAACCACATAACAACACACTTGAGGGGTCGCCCCTCACAAGCTGCCTGACCTCGTCCACCACCACCACTGTCACCGTGGACGAGGTCAATGTTTACACCGTCTCCTGCCTCCATTACCAGCTCACAGTCAAGTCAAATGCACTCCCAACTGGGCCAGTGGTGGACCTGGACTGTTGGCAGGTTTCTACTCCCGACAGCCCAGTCAGGAGCCAGGTGCCACTTGTGGCAGCTTCCTCCAACACTGGTGTCCCGCAGGGGTGGTGTAGGGCACCGTCAGTATGGTATGGGCTCCTTGGGGAGCCGGTCGGCCGAGCGGACAGCACGCTGGACTTGTGATCCTGTGGTCCTGGGTTCGATCGGCGAGAAACAATGGGCAGAGTTTCTTTCACCCTATGTCCCTGTTACCTAGCAGTAAAATAGGTACCTGGGTGTTAGTCAGCTGTCACGGGCTGCTTCCTAGGGGTGGAGGCCTGGTCGAGGACCGGGCCGCGGAGACACTAAAAAGCCCCGAAATCATCTCAAGATAACCTCAAGTATGTGGTGTGGGACGAGGAGTGTTGGTCTGCAAGTCGAGTATGACTTGGGGAGGTCGAGCTTGGGGAGTAGAACAACTCCCAGAACCCCATCAAGCAGGTACTGTACTGTCTATGACTCAAGACGAAGCCTCGCTTTATCTTCAATTGGCTTCTAAGGAGGAAAAAATACGTATTATAATTTGACATTATAATTTGAGAGGGAGTTAATATCCTTCCTATTTAGAGTAGAGGACGCCAACTATGACATTTTAGAAGTGTCTTTGAGGAAGACAAACAGTAGAACAAACAAGAAATGTGAAGAGACAGTGTAATGAGCAAGATTGGACTCCAAGTTGGCATCAAGTGACCACATTCCATACTCACCTAGTTGTACTCGCCTAGTTGTGCTTGAGGAGGTTGAGCTTTGGGGGGCCTCGTAGCCTGGTGGATACCTGGTTGATGGGGTTCTGGGAGTTCTTCTACTCCCCAAGCCCGGCCCGAGGCCAGGCTTGACTTGTGAGAGTTTGGTCCACCAGGCTGTTGCTTGGAGCAGCCCGCAGGCCCACATACCCACCACAGCCCGGTTGGTCCGGCACTCCTTGGAGGAATAAATCTAGTTTCCTCTTGAAAATGTCCACGGTTGTTCCGGCAATATTTCTTATGCTTGCTGGGAGGACG